TTGTCACAAAGATGTCTTTAGGACAAGGGAACTGAATCAGACCCTGGCTCCATGGGTCAGGAGCTCCATGAGGTGGGCCCAATTTTGCAGCTTGGGTCTCTTCCTCTACACAGTGGGAATGGTCATCCGAGGTTGTCTGGAGAATCTGAAGAGATCGGCTGTGTTGTTTACTTTAGAGTTCAGGACACTAGAGCTCACACACAGCACAGCAGCAGCTGCAAGGCTGGCTCCCTCTGAACACCTGCCTTCTGGTTCCTTCTGCAAGAGAGCTTCTCAGCTGAGGGGTGTGGAGAAGGAAGGTAAAACTGCAAAGTGGTTAACGAGCTTGCTAATGCTCTGTGTATCAGTGGCGCTCACCTATTTGCAGCTATCATGAAAACTGGCCTGTTTCTATCACAGCCTTCTAGGTGGTTTTCCTTAATGAGACCTCAGCCCAAGTGACTCCCCCCAGAAAAAACATTCAACATTATCACACTGAAGATGTTTCCAATGAAAGACTATATACAGAATGAATAAGCACATGTAAAGTGAGCAACTGAATACATGCAAAATACATCAATGAACCAATGAATGACTGCAAAAGAAATGAATGAGTGTGAAGGCAAAATTGGTAACCCAGGGGAGGCCATTTTCAAGCCGTAACACTACTGTTATCCTGGCCCTCAAGTCTGTGAATAGATGCTCTACAAAATATGTGCTGCGGTTCTCTCTTCCTTCCTGATGTCCGAATCCCCAAGCAGCAGCTCTGACTCCGGAAACCAAGAGCAGAGCTGGGCAAACGCAGTGGGAGCCAACTGTGTACCAGCCGTTCTGGAGCAGATAGAGTCATTAAGGAAAATTTTAACAACGTATAACCTTTCCGCTTTACTCTGCTAACAGCAGGTAGCGGTGCCTTTCAGAGACTCGAGCCTGCCTTGAAGTCACCAGTGAGCAGGACTTGACCTTCATTTTTAGTATATCCAGCATTAAATATTCATAATCCACATAACCAAAGCATCAGAAGTACCAGCATTCAAACATGAATCAAAGCAATAAATATATTCACATGTGTGAGTCATCCATTCCCAGAATGCTCCTGGAAAAAAAAAAAATGCAAATCCACAGGGCTCTGTGCTGCTGTCTCTCCCAACTTTCTCTTAAAATTCTGGAAGCAAGGGGACTGGTGGTACATTATGCAATCTGTGAATCCTGCTTTCATGCTGACATCAGATCTTTCTTCCTTCTTTATCTATTAGATAAGAATTACTGTTCTTGTGTCAAGGGGGAAGGATGGAGACAGCAGCAGTGACATTAGCACTCCCAGGGCACGGAAGGGCACTTTCAACGTGGTTGTACAATTAAAAATAAAAAATCTGCTTCACAGGGATCAAAATGTGTGGGAGAAAAGGTCTCAGCGTAGGCATTGACAGACGTCAGACTTGAGAGCGGGAGTGCTGTGTGACATAAGTTGGGCAGGCAGCCTTTTTTAAAAAATGAAGAAAAAAAAGAGCTCCTTTGGACAAATATGTGTCTTGCATAGCCAACTGGAGGAGACCTTTTGGGGCATGGAATTACTGTGTGTGGTGAGTGTCACGGACCCCGATGTCAATCCAAAGGCCTGCTGGAACGTCTCCCTCTGTTGGGCATGTCCAGACAGCCGCCTGCTGGGAAGATGATGTACCACCTCAACACAACGTAACGCAACTGTCTTTGGCTCTCAACGCCGGGACTTCTGAGGACGGGCCGTCTTCAGCGGGCAGCAATCACTGGAACCTATAAAATGATTCGCCCAGAGCGATCGCTCCAGGAAAGGAAAGAATCAAAGAAGGGCTCACAAATGGAAAAAAAAGACGGCCAATTCAGGCATCTGTCTCTCTCGGCCTAAAAATTTGAAAGAAAAGCTGTGCAAAAGGAAGATGGCTTTGGAATTGGTTTATCCCTCACCTTCTGATAGTAAAACAGGTGTTCAAAGGTTAACAAGATCATAGCCCGGCAGTTACAATATTTACTAGAACTTCTTTCCCCATCTGCAGATGGACATAAGTTGAAGAACCCCCTTGTCTGCTATCCATGTACAGGAGCAAAATTGGCCTGCTATGAGGCTAAGCCAGTACAGCCAACCACTGAGGTCTATTTTATATATTAATCTGTGTTTCTTTCACCTTCAAGGGTCTGGGTCATTTGTGACCTCAGATATTCCCTACCATTTGGCTGAGCCCAGCTCTGCTTAAGAAACATAGAGACAAGCTATCTCATGGACAGTATCAGTCCAATTAGCTCATTCCAGATTGACTTATTTGAAAGGAAAAACATTAATTAAAATTCATCTTAAGAATACTAGATACTTCTTACCAGAAAAAATAATTTAGTATAATTTCCAAGAGATTGCTTTTTTTTTTGGGGGGGGGTATTGGGAATTGAATTCAGACCCTGTGCTTGCCAGGCAGGCGCTTGTGCCACTGAGCTATCTCCCCAGTCCCTTCCAAGAGACATTTAAAGCTACTTCCAGGTCAACTCCATGGCCTGCCAGACAATGACTGCTGAACCTGCATCAGTTTAGAATGAGAAAGTCAGATCTGCAGAAGCCGCTTTCTACTATCCTACTTCTTTCCATTTGCACTTTACACATGGGTCAAATTTCAATTTATCTTGTTCACTAGGCTAGAGGATAATGTGGTTTTCTTCCCAGGAACGTGAGGACTTATCATCAAGGTGACTTCACAGATTCTACTTGAATTCTTCCCTTTTCTGAACAGAATATATCACTGGCTCTCCCCAGGAAGATGAAGACTGCCTCCTGCTGATGGGGCCCCTGATGGCTCAGAATCTTGAAAGTGGTCTCAGGACCCAGTGAACTAACACAAAGAAAAACTGGATGGGGCTTCATAAATAGCCATTATGTGTTCTCATATACAAATCTGCTGAACAGCTTAGTGATTCAGAGAAGAAGTCTGGCCCTAGGACAAAGCTAAGCAGTCCCCAAGGACCATGAGCAAAGTCTCCTTCCTAAGATTATTGGCATTTTCTTCATGGCAACAGGTTCAAGATAGATATTGATAGATACTCATCAGTCCATGGACAAAGTCAGAATCAGAGAGGATTCCTAATGCCAATTCACAAGGCCTAGTAGAGTCCGAAGGAAATCCAAAGGATGTGGAGGGGGGCGGCACTTGGGGAAGAGGCTCTGCCTTGGGGAATTTCATCCCTGCCCATCCTCTCGCACAGAGACAAGAACACCAGAATCTACAAGGCCAAAGATTGTTTCCTAGCACACATTTTAAAGAAAGACACCATCCAGAGCCAGGTAATGAGAGCATTTTATTTCAAAGAAATACAAAGGAGCACAAGGGGGGAGCAGGGCAGGAAGAAGCAGCCCAGGCATAGGTCCTTCACCACACTCACCTCCTGATAAATGCATGTTCTCCCTGGAGCACATAGACTACACGTCCAAACCCTTCTCCTGAGCCCCAGCCTGGGAGGTGGTAGGGTGCATACCCTACTACATATGAGAACACCCCTGGGGAGAGAGTGGAGAAATGAGACCCAGGGCTTTAGGAGATCTCCAGCTTAAAACAAATACAGGGCAGAATCAGTATGAGAAAATATGAACAGGATGCTTACCTCCAGTGACACACCAGCCGGAGACTTCCAGACTTAAAAAAACTCTTCTCTTTCTTGGCTAGGGATTTCCCACAGAGAGGCCACACGCACTGTCATCCCCTGTGGCTGTCCCAAGGATCCTCCTTGGGAGGTAGGTGGCTGAGAGCCACCCAGCCTTGCATGGGGATGACCCGCAGGACCTCTCACATTCTGAGGCTTGACCAGCCCCCAGATAGTTATTAGGGGCATGTTTGTTTTACTGTCCCTGACATGACATTTTGAGTTGTGCACCCAAAGGCAAAGTGTCCTTTGGCCAGTAACCAACAAGCTCTGAGAAATGTAAAGTTTAGATGTGCATGAAATCACCACCATCCTGAGCCACAGGAAGATGGCACTAAGCTTAGAGAGACACTGAGCAGGTTTCCTAGGATCAAAGTCTGGTGTCCTAGGACCACGGATTTCCTAGAATCAAAGTCTGGTGTTCCTAGGACCATGCTGGGAGTAGTGTTTAAAGAGGTGAAGACAGTCTTAGAGCAGCTAATAAGGACAAAGAGCTCAAGGCCATTGTACTTGGCCAGAGCTGTCAAATTCACATCACAAAGGAAAAGTGTTGACTTCAAATTACAACAGAGTTTTTGAAACAAATGATACAGCCAGCTGTGGCACCCACAGGAACCAGAACAAAGGTGCCACCACCCAGCAGCCCCTGGTCAGCCAGTGTTCTCTTTGGCCTCCCACAAGGTCTTCACCATCTGTGAACCAGGCTTACCCAGCGGCGCCAGTTCCCTCAGCGTGAGTGTCCCAAGCATCTGCATGAGTGTTCCCTCTAGGAATCCTCAGGTGGCCATGGTCCTCCACCTCTAGCAGTCACTGTGAGCGCCTCCTGCCATCTGCTTACCTTCCCGAGTCAAAAGGCACCAGAGCACAACGCTTCAGCTGAATATTTGTTCAGCAGGTGACAGAACGGCACTGTGGTTTCTAACCTGTCCTCCAATAAGGTCATAGCATGGGAAACCCAGATCGGAACAGGAAGAGGATTCTACCAACAAGGCTAGAATGGTTTCAGACTCTTATCTGTGGGACTCTGCCACACTCATTTCACCCAACACAGGTTGTGAATTCCCATCAAACCCTCCACCTTTCTTGCCATCTTCAGTGCAAAGAGTTCATCAGGAAGCAGGTATTTAAGAATTCTAGCGGGAAGACTTAGCCCCATTCGCCTCTCCCGCCCACGCCAGCAGAATCAAAGCAGCTTTCTGAGAGCTCACTTTCCCATTCAGAAAATCAGCGCAGAACAGCCCAGCCTTCCTCCAGCAGTCTCCCACACTCAGGATGTCCTTGTAAAGGTAGGTGTCAGGGTAAGTTCCCCAATGTTTGTTCAAATCGAAAAAGAGGGTCAGACAATGTATTTGAATACTCACTTTGACGAATCTATGAAGTATATTACAAGTGCACCAATGCTGAGAGCAAAGACTAAGACAACCTGCAAAAGAAGAGAAAAGGCTGTCACTTAAAAGTGGAACATCGGGATGTTTATTGTTCTGGACATGACAGCAGCAGCTCTGAACCCCAGGGCCCATCGCTTTCACAGACCTGCTTGGAAATCTGCCCTGGCCACCTCTGTGTACTGACCGCCGTGATACTGGGCCTCACCTGGCAGTGGCCAGCAACCTCCCTCCTTGCCAATAGGGGTCAGGGTAGACTTTTCTATGCTACAGCACTAGGTTTTGGTCTGGCCTGTTTATCTCAAAGTCCAGCTTCCCTGCAATCAAAGCCATAAAGCTCAGGAAGAAAACAGCAAGTGACGCCATTTCTCAGATTACTGTAACATAGGACTTAAAGTGACCCTAGACGGATATCTATTAAAATTCACCCATTTTAGGCATGCAATTCCTCAATGACTTTTAGTAAATTCATCAAGTAGTGTGACCACCACGTAATCCACTTTCATTTCAACACCTCAATGAGATCCTTCATGCCTATTCATCACTGATCTCAGCCCCCAACCCCAGTCACTACTTAGTATCTCCAAAAAAGAAACATTCATTTGAAAAGTGCAGATTCACTTATACAAAGTTCACACGGATATACTGTGTATGTATTTACACACACACAACCTACAGATGTAGATATAGTTGCTGCTTCTATATTGTGTTTACATGTGGTTATGACACTTCTCAAGCTCTTAGGAAAACAGCTGAATGCCAAATTAAGTAACGCGTCCGGCCAGTTACATGGCCGTTCTTCTTTAGGCTCCTCACTCAAAGTTAATCACTCTCGCTCTAATAGACAGCTTGGCATCTTCTTCAACAGACACCTGCCACACCGAAGTTCATCAAGTGAATATGTAACAGATTGGGTTGACCGACACTTCTGTCCTCACTTAATGTTCCAAAGTGTTTATTTTATCTTTCACTCAAGAGACGATTAATGCAAATAAAGGACAGCCAAAAATAAGAAAGAAACTAACAGCCAACAACTGCGAAGGTAAACACACCATTACACACCATTCCTGCTGGCTAGTCCAGGAGTACCTGCTAGCTATGCTAGTATCTTAGAGTGCCAGGGCTTTAGAGCCACCTTGAAGAGCTTGCAATTGAAGGGCATGCTCAAGCTCTGTGTGTGTGTGTGTGTGTGTGTGTGTGTGTGTGTGTGTGTGTATGAAAAACACACTCATATTTTCTTTTTCTTTTTTCTTTTTTCGAGGAACCAGGGATTGAACTCAGGCCCTTGCGCTTGCCAGGAAAGCGCTTATTCCACTAAGCCATCTCCGGGTCCCCTCATACTTGTATTATAAGTGTGTGCTGAAGGAGCTGGTAGAAAATGAAATGTGCATGAGATATTAATTTAAAACATTGCACAACTCCACGGAGCTCCTGGCAAGGGGCGTGGTGGGCCACACAGCACAGAAGACAACAATCAAAATAGTTGGACGTTGTAAAAGAAACTCACATTTTCACAGCAAGTGCTAGAATTTCCTTATGAAAGAAAGTGTTAAAACAATAACCAGGACTTATTTTAGTTTTCCTTTTTTTTTTTTTTTTTTGCAGAACCGGGCACTTGAACTCAGGCCCTTGCACTTGCCAGTGAAGTGCTCATTCCACTGAGCCATCTCCCCAGCACCTCCATTTTATTTTACAAACCATAACAGTCCAGCCCAATCCCAGGAAAGTCCTGCTGTCGGTCCGCAATTACTGGCCCTCAGGAGAGCCCTCTGGGCTGGTCACCTCCTCGCCCCTCCCGCATTCCTTTATAGACTCCTTCCAAAGGTAAACACAAAACCAAACAAAAGCATAAACAAGCCTCTGCTTTTTTTTCTCTGTTATCTGAAGGAGGCAGTAAAACAAAAAGCTTAAGATTAGATTGGAGCTGTGCTGCTATTTCGGAGAGTTAAGCACTTAGATCCCAGCCCTGACCTCATTCGCAAAAAGCTGCAAAGGGGAGGGGCGTGGCCAGAGCAGCCCGCAGGGCCTCTTCATTCATAAACAGCAGACCCAGGACTAATCCCTGTCAGCTTGGCTCCCCATGTGTCTGTGAATGCTGAGCTCCTGTCACACTGGCTAGACAGTCCTATGCGACCCAAGGCCCCAATCACAGGAAAGGCAAGCAAGAATCCTTGTGAACGGCCTACAACAGTGATGGTTTCCCAGCACCAGGATGGCCAAAGGGATTGGCACTAATTTGTCCCAGCCACGTCCACTTGGTATCCGTGATGGGGATGATGTGTTGCTTACGTGAGCAAATTGACCAGTGACAACAGGAGGGGAATGAATCCTGTTCTCTTGAGATACAAACTCAAGTACCAGAGTTTCTCAGATAAGAACGGAGAGAAACCTGGAAGGAACTGTCCTTCGGGGCTCCACCCAGTGTCAGGCAGTGAGAGCTCTGTCCGTGGGCCTATGCTTTGGTCCACAAGTTCTGCCAGAAGGTTTTCTCTCTAGGAGGTGCAGGGAGTCCAAACTTCCCCCATCCCCCACTACTCACAGTCGCCTAGCTCCACGCATGAAATGATCAACGCTTCTCAGTATACAGGTCCACGTGCACCTAATCCTTAAACTCGCAAAGACCCCTCTACCCTGTCAAGCTTGATTACTTTGTCAACCCAGACCCAGGTGCATGAGAAACACATCAACCCTTTGGAATCAGCCCTGAAAACAGGAACAGAGACTTGATTTTCACACGGCCCAAAGAAAAAGACTGAGGAAGATGAGTTTATTCTCTTTCTCGAATTCTTTAACAAATCTCCACTCTCTGAGGAACTCTACTCCAAATGTACAGAAATCAGAAAACATGAAGCAACTCAATTCTGGCCCAAATGGTAGTTACATTATAGCAAGCCTCCAACTAGCCATGTAAGTACTTTTTTAGTGCTTCTCTCGTGATGGCCTCAGCCACCACTTTGGGCCCCCTGGGTGGCCCCAACTGCCATAGCCTCCGATTTGCCAGAAAGACCCATTTGCTGTGTGCTGACACTGAATATGGAATGCTGTTTCCTGGGTGCCCTAGTCCTAAAAAATAAAAGCAATTAGATAACTGTCACTGGAACAATGGTGACTGTGACTCACCTATTTTCATAATTCAGGATGAAACATGACACGTGTTGGCACCAAAGAATGCCAGCAGCACACACAGTGCATTAAAACAACACCAGAAATCTGTCTTCCTCATCCCGAGCAGTCTGTTGATGAAGAGAATTGAGAGGGAGGCTCATAGTTCTCTCCCTAGATGGAGGGCCTAGGGGGCCAGGAGAAATTTATTTATTTATTTATTTTTAATTTGTTTGGTACAGGGTCTCACCACACAGTTCAGACTCATAGTGATCCTCCTGTTTCAGCCTCCCCAGCTCTGGGATTATAGTCATGAGCCACCATGCCAGGCCTCAGTGGCCAGCTCAGCGCAGCCAGGGGCAGGGCCAGGGCCAGTCCCTGTGCTTGCCTAAGCAGGCACTTAGTCTGCTGAGCTATCTTGCTGGCCTGAGAAATTTCATACAAAAGGAAAACACATGGCCTACTGTAGAATATCCCCCTTTGGTTATCGAAGCTCACAGGAAAGCGCAGATTCAGGAATGGAAACACAGAGAGGAGCCACCTAGGAAAGGGAGCTTCTTCTCAGGAACACTGCCTGTCCCAGACCTTGGCTTCAGATGCCAGCCTGAGGCTTCCATGCTTCCACTCAGCTCACAATGCTTCAGGGGCCTTCAAAGTCTGACTGGGACCCAAGGCTCACATAAGTAGCCAGTCCCAGAATCATATCTCCTGGGAAGCCTTTCTTAAAAAAGAGAGGTGCTCTCCTCCCACTCAGGACCACAGCCCGGCCACCTCTACCTCTCACCAGTTCTTCCAGGGAATTTGAAGCGTAGCCAAGACTGGGAGTTGCTCAGTGAAAGCCATTAGGGGAAACCACTTAGCTCAAGTCAGAGATTAATTTACAAATGTCGCCTTTACAATTAGCCCATTAGAACATATGTATGAGGCCTGCAGGCTTGGAGAATCTGCTAGGAGTACTCTGCAAAGTACAGAGAAAAGGATGAATTAATTCTCTCCTGAGCAGGCTTTACATGGTCTCCTTGGCTCACAGCAGAACAAATGACCCTAATTAATGATTCTATGTGTTGGCTGTAGAAACCAGCTTCTGCCAGAATCCAACAGAGACCCTGCTCAGAAAATGGACAATTTTTTGTATGCATTCTCAAAGGCACATGACTTTAAAAAATTGAGGTATGATTTATGCACAATAAAATTTACTAGAGGCAGGAAAAATAGATGTGAGAATCCCTAAGGCAAAACAATCTGGGGACATTTTGTTTCTGAGAGATAACATCCTTCCAACATCAAAATTATAATGTTTGGTCCAGTGAATTTAACAACTGCAACACACATTTGCTGAATGCCTAAAGCGCAAGGCCCAGAGCGAGAGATGGGGAAATACAGAGCAGGAACAGCTGAGGCAGACCTGGCTTTTACCTCCACAAGCACGGAATCTAGAAGTTTAAATTAGTCAGGAATCCTTTGTGGATTCTAGACATGAGACACACATAAGCAGACACTTCCAGGGCAGTTGTCAAAGGAAGGTTCCAGTGTAGAAATAACATCAGACTCCTAAAATGGGAAGGGAAGAGGAAAGGTCAGGCGGAAAATCCAGGAAAAGATCCCTGACAGTCCAGAACTACCTGCGGGAGCCCTTGCTAGGGAAGAGGCACACAAGGAGACCGACATGGGTGGGGGACCGTGGAGGGCTCTGGTAAAAAGTGTACTCTTAGGTAAGCCACTTATCTCTCTGGGACTCGGGTTCTCCGCCTAAGAAATGATGTGGTCAACTGTTATCAGGTAAGCACTTCGGCAGGTTACTGCATACAGGGAAGGAACTGAAAACTGGTGCTTTGAGCAGCCCTCTTTCCTGCCAACTCTTTAGGATGTGCATAATTATTATTCAGCATGATGGCAATAAAGCCTGCCACTAATTCTGCGTCCAAGAGGCTCACCG